GATCTCCAATGAGGTTAGAATACCCATTCCTCTTTCAACGTACAATGATTTGAACCGCGGTTATTGAAACTCTCTGATAAGAATGTTGCAGATATAAGCTACGTATCCCTCTAGCAAGTATCTTACACTGGAGCAATGAGCTACTCTAACCATACTTCAGTGTTTCCGCATCCCCCTTCACGCCCAATGCTGGCCAACTGAATCCCAGTATACTGCTTTCCCCAAGAAACAGAAAATCTCATCAGGAGCCAAATCTCCTCCCTGAAAACCCATATAGACATGGATTTCCATTTCATGTGCCCACCGTAAACAGACTCAGTATCCTCGAATCCTTCTCGAGGGTCCCGGTCAAGGTTACACAGTGTTAAGACACTACATGAGCGAACATCCACTCGCTCCATTTGGCAAACTACATGCATCCGCCGACGCGATCAATCATACCGCGAACAAAAGTGCTCCGCCACAACCCCCACCAATTTATATCCACGACTTCGACAGTAATATAGTCGAATTTACCAGAAACCTTAAAAGCCACTGCGGCGACAACATTTAAATTAAAATTTCTAGGCAATTACGTGTGTGTTCAACCTACAAGGAGACCCTACAATGAGATTTTGCTAAAACTTTGAGGGGTGAATCTAGAAGTCGAAAAATGATATTCTATAGAATATTTCATTCCAATGCGTATTTTTTTATAAACAATTGAAATTGGTTCTATAAAATCCTGGAAGTTTATGACGTATTCAACAACCCACAGTGGATCAGCGCATAGAGCGTTCACTTTCTAGGCGAAAGGTTTGTGTTCTCGAATTTCGTGAGTGAAAGAATTTTTTTTCACTTTTATCTTAATTGATAAAATTTTACATTATGTTATTTCGTAAGAACTGTCAGTTATACAAATCATTGTTTCTAAACGTGCAAATAAAATATATATACACGTATAAAGAATACGTTACTATTATACATTGTATTTGTGCACATACATTTATACGTAACTTTTCCTTACGATAAATATTTAAATTTATACAATATGTATATTTACAAAGAATATACACTACTAACATATTTATTATATTAATTAATACAACTAGCAGGATGATACAAACTACAGAAGCTATGAAAGTATAGAAATTTTTTGTAGTATTCACATCTGATAAACGATATTAAATTACAATTACATTGGTTATTTTTTTGTATCAGTCGAGAAATATAGTTCATTAATGTTGAAGAATATCATCCTCAAAATGCTCGGACAAAAAATCGACTAATTCAACCAGGTGCGATATCTTAGTATCATTTTTGATAAATATCTTCTGTGGACACCGGCGGTCCAAAACCAACTAATCGAAACCCGTGCAGTCGCAGGGCAGCGGCCCTTCACCCCTGCATCTGTCCCTCATTCTGCCTGAATCTACACCTCAGACACTGCACGTACAAAATCTGTCTCAATGCTAACCTACAGAATTCATGCATGAATAAATGCAAATTATTCCTATCTAACACAACTGCAAACGATGCAAAATCACTTCCATACTTAAAATTATCACTGGACGCCCTAAACGGTATCCGACCAAACTTCTCCATGAAAACACAGACACCCAACCCATACTCGACCATATCTCGCAGCTTTTGTCCTCATACTTGGTCAAAAATCACTCTAACTCTCTTGTAAGATAAACTGATCTATACGACCGGAACTGCATCAAAGTAAAAATTCCTAAGGTTTTCTAACCTCTTCACTCTTAACGCTCATTGTCTCTCTCTAATACTTAACATTTCCCTCTTTTAAGGTATCTCCACAAACTTATGCTCGTATTTTATACTGATCTCTTCTGTTGTAGGTTTTTTTTTAAATTTTTTCTACAGCAATCTTATATTGACCTCATCAAATTTACCTCACGTTGGTAATACCACTACTACTAACCTGATTCTCCGGTGGGAGTGGCAATTCGCTACTAGAAACGGGATACATCCCCTACTCATTGGCACTAAATAAGCAAAAACAAAAGTTAGTGGATATATACGTTTTCAGTGACGTGATTCGAAGTGTATTACAATTTCAATAAAGTTTATAATATATCTTGTTACATTGTTTGCCACATTTCTGGTATTTCTTTTTCCTAATTTAAGCGGAAGACAGTAATAGATTTGTGGCGATAAATCGTTCTCTACGTTATACTCCTTCCATCGCCTTTTATCGTGCATTACCAAAATATCAATTTATAAAAGTTATTTACCAATTTGTGATATAAATTGTAATTTTCATTGCAATATAAAGTAAATGTATAAAAAATACTCCAGAAATACTATCAATTTATATGTTAATGACATATGATAAATATGCACAAAGGTAAAAGCAATTATAAGAAGATGTCTTCTGAGATTTTATTAATAGCAACATTTTTTTTAAATTGAAGGATCTATTTTTTTGTCTACCATGAGTAAGGTCACATCGAAATGCATTCAACCATGTATCACAGCATGATCTTGAAATGACGTTAGACAGAAAATTTAACGAATAAATGAAATAAACGAAACTCACGAAGGAACCGAAATTACAGTTTTGGCAGCTACAGCAGTGAATCCGCATACAAGTACTTGACAAATTGTAAGATATTTTGATATATCCAAATCCAGTGTTTACCGATTACGCAAACGTTGTCGGTTTTACCCTTATCATATGCCGCTTCATCATACTCTGGCACTGCACGAATTTCAAAATCGAATTAATTTTTGTCGACGGGTACTGCGATAATTACAGATTGATGAACAGTTCTTCGACGGTTTCATGACATTTTATTTAGCGACGAGTCAACGTTCACAAATTGTGACCATGTAAATACGCATAATATGCATTATTAAGCGGAAGAAAATCCCAGGTAGCTTCGACAGAAGTAGTTTCTGGAAGAATCAAATTATTGACCCATACTTTATTGACAGAATTCAGAATGGGTACAAATATTCTGCATTCTTAACTGATAAGAAGTTACCAGAATTGATAGAGAATATTTTATTAGAAGATCGTCTAAAACTGTGATTTCAACATAACAGATGCCCTACATATTTTGCACAAGAAACACGCCATGTATTCACCTAGAAAGTAGATCGATCATAGAACGGAAGTACGTTGGCCTGCTGGTTCTCCTAATCCAACACCTCTCGGCTTTTTTCAATGGGACATAATCAAAGATGTTTCAACAACAGCTGACAACATAAAAGGTCGTATTTCCAATGCGTGTGCAAACATTTTATGAGGATACAGAAAGTTAGACACGCATTTGTTTTACGCCTAAATAAGTGCACATATGATAGTGAATCATATAACTAAGGTGTTCATTTTGTTAATACAATTTATTCTTCAGGAGCTTCCACCTCAATCATATACTCGTAAAATTTCTAGTCCAAGGTCATTCCATGGTCATGTTGTGATACATGGTTAAATGCATTTCGATGTTATCTTTCTGATGATAAACAAAAAAATAGGTCCTTCTATTTAAAAAAATGTTACCATTAGTAAAATCTCGGAAAGTATGACCTTGAAATGACCTTCACGCCCATAAACTCCCCTAAAATACAATAACTTCCTTCGGAAGAATTGTTTTGAATGAAAAATTCCATCATATAACCATGTATACATTATTATATAAAATAGAATTTTTAAACACTTTTACATTGTTTTTAAAAAACATTTGATCAATTCTTTGTTGATAATTACTTGTAATGTCAAAATACCTGAAAATTGAACTAAATATAAAACAAAAGATAAATAATCCAAATATATAATGTAAATATACATTCAATGAAATATTTAGCATAATTTATATGAACAAAATATAAAGAAGAAATTTTATTATTACATATTTTCATTATTATAGTGTTTAAATGTTTTATACTTGAATTCTTTATCAGAAAGTACCAATATTTGTACACCATTTTATTTTTATTGTCAAATACTGCAATTATTATATTATTTATATAAAATCACAAAAGTAGGACTATATAAATTATGCGTATATGTTTATTATACTTCTATTATACTTATATATTTATTTCACAATATTATTGTAAACTGTTTATATATTATGAAAATGATACACGTACAATTATTGAGTACGTTTTACAAAATGGATTTTAATCACTTTCAAATTTTTTCTGAGAATAATCTAACTTCATTTTCTGATCGCCTTTTGACATAGACATTTCATACATAACTTTTTTAAGTAACCTTGCTTGACTTCTCATCTTTAGTTCTTCATATGTACAAAAACATGCCAAAGTAATACTTATTGCACCATAACCGATTACTCCCACACGTGTAGCAGTCTTTCCACTACTTGTCACTAAAAATGTTATTAATCCAGAAACTATGCCTCCAGAAATACCATATATAAAAGCATTCCTTTGACATCGTGTTTTAATTATTGGTTCTCCAAAAAGAGTAATAATGTTTTTTGATTGAGTTTGTTCTTCATTTTCCAAATGTTCCTCCATATTTCCATGAACAATTTTTAATTCAAATACTGTTCTTATCTAACCTCAATAAATAATACATCCAACAAGGCATCCAACTTTCCACGTGTTATGGCACTATTTTCAACTATACAGATGTGACGCTGGTGAATACAATTTTCACATAAAATTAATAAACAAAGTCTACTGAAAAAATTAACAAATCTAAAAGAAAACCAGTTTTTTAAAATTCATTTCAACATGTTTTCTTGTTATTAAAAATTATACGATTTATCAAAGAATTTTATTTTAAACGTTACTTAAGCATTTAGAAAACAAATTTTTTCATAAATAAATTTTAATAAAATTGAAAGAGTGATAAGAATGTAATTGAATTATTAGGAAACAATCTCAGTTAAAAATTATTTAGATTAAACTATAAAAATACAATAACAATTAAAAAACTATATGTATACACTGCAGAATAAATGATTACAAACATATAACTATGACTAGAAATATAGAGGTATTTTTTGCATAGAACAGTTGGTACTTCTACTTATGTGTTTCTTGGATCCTTTTCACGCGGTGCGGATATCATCAAGGTACACGCGAATAGCAGTTTAGTTTTTAGCTAAAAACAAAGTTAAAATGAATTAGAAAATATTAAATGGTACTTTGCATGTTATTTATAACATTGCAATTTGTTAGATGAACATAGATTTTTTACTCGATCGCGCATATAAATTTTGATAAAACTGGATTTTATATGATACAATGTACTTATATTTGACAGCATATTGTATTTCATAGTATTTAGCTTCAAAATTATATTTTTACATATGTCAAATTTAAAATAATATTAATATTTCAATTTATATTATTATTTAAAAAAAAAGTTTAAAATTGAGATGTTTATACCTAAATAATAATACATCTTAACCTTTAAATATTTTTCAGATGTTCACAGCAAACGCTAAGATAATAAAAAGTGGTGGAGTTGAACCTGATGCGTTCGAAGCTAGCATTTCCCAAGCTCTGCTAGAGCTGGAATTGAACAGTGATTTAAAATCACAATTAAGGGAACTTTATATTACTAAAGCACGTGAAATAGAAACTAACAACAAAAAGGTAAAGCTACATTTCTTTTCCTGCAATTAAATTGTTTAATTACTATAGTTTTATAACTTAACTTTTATTTAATATTAGTTTAC